ATTACCTCTTGGAGTCTCCCCACAAGTACAGTGTTGCCGACCTCCAGCAGGTGAGAGTCCCCTCCCCGACCTCCAGACCTCTCTCAGAGGGGCCTCATTCCTGGAGAAATCAGAGAGGGGGATGCGGGAGGGGGGGCTGCAGCTTTTCAGGCCCTCAGCGTGTCTCGCTGTCCCGTGCTTCCCCGGGCAGTGACCGAGCACCAGCCCCTGCGGTGAGCAGGCAGGCGAGCCAAGTCCGGGGCACAGGAGCTCCTCAGCCCCTTCCCTGCGGCTGGACTCGTCCCCAACAAGAGGGCGGGGGTGGGGGGAGGCCCCGGGGGTGAGAGCTGGGGACATTCCTTTCCTGGCAGGAGGGCACTGTGGATTTGGGTCTCCTCTGGCAAGCCAGTTATCCCCAGTGACCTCTGCATGCGAGAGCTGGTCACCTGGATCCTTCGGCCTGGTCCGGGGAGCTTTTCTTGCCCAAGCGGGGAGAGCCTTCTTCGGGGGTAGGACCTTGTTCAGGCAGAGTGCCAGGAACAGCAGCAGGCCGCACTGTCCCGATGGCCTCGGCCTCAGCGCAACTGCCTGAAAGGCCTGGCGGCCCCCGCCCCTGCCCTCCACAGATCGCAGACGGGGTGTACGCTGGGTTCCTCAATGCCCTCATCGGATTCGCCTCCCAGCACGTCTACCACTGCGACCTGTGCACCCAGCGCGGCTTCATCTGCCAGATCTGCCACCACCACGACATCATCTTCCCCTTCGAGTTTGACACCACGGTCAGGTATGCGGGATGCCCTCCCCACGGCTGGCCCCGGCGTTCCGGGGGGGCAGGCGCACAGAGGACGCCATGTGTGTGCTGGTGCCGCGAGCTGGCGAGGTCGTCTACAGCAGCCGATGCCCTGGGCAGTCACGGCGGCTCTGGGCCTGCTCAGGGGACAAGAGAGCCCTCCGAGGACCCTTCCCCAGACCAAGGAAGCTGTCTGTCTCCCTAGAGAAGAGGTAGCTTGCCGCGTCTTTGAGCGGGGGCCTCGGTTCTGTCATCTGCAGACGGGTTGAGGAGGGACCGAAGGAGCGGCCGCCCTGGAGTGTTGGCACAGGCCAGGCACGAAGTGGGCCCCCAGGGGCTGGCACCTGCCTGGCTCGCCCCAGCAGTGATGATGCTTCTTAGCTGGTTAGCACGCCTTATCAGAAGCCTCTCAGTGGAAAAATTCATCCCCCAAACCTCCATTCCAGCCCAGGCAGGAGCATTCATTTGTTTTCAGGAGGTGTCTCATGGCCTAGATTCAGCCCCTGGGCTCCGTTTTTTAAACGGCAGAGTGTTTTCAACATAGGCAAGGAATCATCCCATGAGTCTCCAGCAGCATGTGGGAAAAGTGGATTAGAAGCGAGCATCAGCGCCTGTGGCATCTGGCGGTGGGGAGGCAGGGCGCGCTGGGGTGGGGGCGGGCGGGGGCAGACCTCAGCCCCCCCCCCCCCCAGGGCTCTGGTCAGACGCTGGCTGCCCTCCTCCAGGTGTGGCGAGTGCAAGACAGTCTTCCACCAGAGCTGCCAGGCCGTGGTGAAGAAGGGCTGCCCCCGCTGCGCCTGCCGGCGCAGGCACCAGGAGCAGAGCACGCTCAGCTAAGCCAGCGCGCCGTCCCCACCCAAGCTGTCGGGCGGCGGCAGCCCGCTCAGCTCGGCCGTCCCAGCTGGGTTCGGCTTCAGCCTGGATCCTCTCGAGGTGTCAGGAAGACTCAGATGGGACCAGCGTGTGAGCCCACCAGATGAGGCCCTCAATGATGTCCCCCAGTCCCTCTCCCCCACCACCCCGTCTGCTCCAAGAGGTGGGGACACCATCCGATGCCGCCTCGGCCCAGGGGAAGCAGGCAGGGCAGCTTTGCACTAATCAGGCCCAGCTCGCCTCACAGACGCGGCCGCTCCATCAGGGCTGTTAGAACACTGTGGACACAAAACTGGAGCGCATTCTCAATTCCACATTCCTGATTAAAAGGTCTAGTTTTTTAAGGCAGGTTTTTTTTCCCTTCGTATTTCAACAGAAAATATTTTTTTATTCTTGACCCTACACAATTCACCCAAGAAATCCAGGCACTCTCACGCGGAGCGAACGTGTGGGAACATTTGGCCTGCAGGCCAGCGGGTGGCGGGTGGGCAGGCCACCGCTGGGCCAGAGCCTGTCGGCTGGACCGGGTGCCTTTCCATCACCCGCGCCGGGCCCTTGCTGCCCACAGCTCAAGTACGATGTGTCAAACTGCCCCAGGGGCTGGTGGGACCGGTCCTGATGACCTCCCTCTTCCTCTCCCTCTCCTCTCTCCTCCCTGCCCTGTCCTCCTCACCTCTCTCCGGGTCAGAGCCCCCTGGCTCCCCTACAGCCTGGGATCTCGGTCCCCGCGGGAGAAGGGAGTAACTCGGAACCAGCACTGTCAGCACTTTGCGCCTTCCTTGGTCCAGGCCAGGGCTGTCCTCTTCCCTACCCCTCAGCCCCTTGCCCTCCACACCTACGGCAGCCATGCAGCCGGATGGACCGGGGGCTGCTAGAGACACGCTCTCAGGGGGACACCCCCCCTGCCCCACTGCCTGCCTGAGCCCAGAGAAGGCAGTGAGCCGGGGCCAGGGGCCAGCCTTGGGCATCGTGACTGCCAGGCCCCACACTGTGGAGTGGCGACCCCCGGCCTTCCACAAAGAGGGCCAGGCCTGCTGCGGAGATGTACGGGGACACGCGGGAGCAGCCACCTTGTGAAAGGATGCTTAGCCTCAGTTTACAAAGCCATGAATTCCCAAAGCTTTGCTGGACTGGCCCAGGAGGGGCACTGCTGGAGACTAGAAAATATCACTGGAGCGTGATTGCCTTTTCAAGGTGTCTTGGGGTAGAGTGGGAGCCTGGAATTGTTTTCAAAGTGACATTTAGACCCTGTGGTTCGGGGGTGATTTCTCTGCTGCCTTCCCCCATCTCTCCTGGACCCACAGCCCCCCACCCCCCACCCTGGGTCCTCTGGCCATCCTGTCTGCTCTCAGCTTGGATTGGGGGCCTCAGGTGGAGATTGCCTGTCACTGTCAAGAGATGAATCTACTCCCACCTCTCCCTTGGGGTGATTCGGCTGCTGAGTCACCTGCCCAGCCCTGTGGAGCTGGATAAATTGTGCAATAGAACAGAGGAGGTGGTGGGCAGGGGTGGGGGAGGGGAGGGCTGCCACACAGCTTCTCTGTCCCCCTCACGGAAGATGGTGCATACCTATGCCCAGCACACCAAAGCCTCCTAAACGGGAAAGTGGATCCTTATCCCTGTCCCGCACCCCCACAGCCAGCGTTAATGCTCCCGCACAAACCCAGCCCGAGCACAGCCGCGGGGGCCCCAATCCCCACGCGGGCAGGGGCTGGCCTGGGATGGGCAGTGCTGCCCCCGCGGCCGGCCCCGGAGGCCTGGCATAGGCTGGGTAGGGCCTGTCCAGCCCACGGCCACCTCCCAGGCATTAGTCGTAGCATTAGAACCGACCCTCTGCCCAGTACCAGAAAGCTGCTAATGCTTCCGGATGAGTTGACTTTTACCCTCTCACCTTCAATGGAAAGCTGATGTGAAACTCAGTGGTGCCCACACTATTTTTAAAATGCCATTTTATGCAATAAACTGTTTCTAGTGAGGGGCGCTGACCCTGAGTAGCGCTTTGCGATGTGTGGAAGGAACTGCTGCTGTGTGATTTTTGAATGATTTTGCAGTAAAGACCTGATTTTTCTCACCTCTGGTCTCGCTTCTGAATCCTGATGCTGCCGCTGGTTGGGGGAGGCCACCAGCCATCCTGTCCGGTGGGGGGGGGGGGGGGCGGTTTGCACCAGGCCTGGGCATGCAGGGGAGGAGACGTGACAGTGTTCGGTCCGTCCTCACCCCACTAGGAGCCAGACGAAGGGGGTTTGGAGGGATAGCATTTCAGGGCCTTGGTGGAGGTTTCCTCACATACACTCATATGTAACAAGTGAAGCTGATGCCTGACATCCCACCACAGGTGGCTTCTTCCCTGTGCCTGTCGAAGCACAGACCCCTAACACCGGCTAACACCGGAACATGAGAGATGTCGGAACTGTTTTTCCGCTGGGTTTTCCAAAGCAAGAGAGGGGGCTCGGGGCCGTAATCAGGGCTCATGGTTTCAGGGCTCCACGTGGCATTTACTTGGCTGCTACCTTCCCCTGAAGTTCCAGGAGGAGCCCACCAATGCCCGTGGTAAGGACAGAAGGAAACAGACTAGTTCCAGGGAAAGTGGGCCGCAGGAAAATGGGATTGAAACATTCAGCTTTGCAGTTCCTTATCCTTGAAGACGCCATTCAGCCCATGGGGGAGCGTCGCCTGAGCCCCAGCGTCCCTCAAGGGCCTCAAGTCCCTCCAGGGTCAGTAGGGGGTGGGCTCTGAGAAGACCAAAGGAACTGGGTTTGAGGGCTGGGGACAGGGAGTTCAGGGCCACGAGACCTGGGTGCCTCCCTGCCTTTCTTCTCAGTGCCTCCATCCTCAGCAAGATGCCTCTGACTACATTCCTTTCTCCCTTTCCCCCTCCTGCCTAAAAGAGAATGGGGGGCTTGGAGACCTCAACCCAAGACCAAAGAGGAGGCCAGCTCATCTTACAATAAAATTTAATAACGAATGTGTGTTCTTAATGTGATAATACTAACCGTGCTTAGTGCAGCTCATTCTCATTCATTCTTGCCAACTATCCTGTGAAGTAGGCGTCACTGTCCCCAGTTTACAGCAGAGAAAACTAAAGTGCTAAGGGTCCAGTTCCAGCAGGCTGCTCTGGGCTTACCCTATGGACAGCCTAGAGGGTGGCCCTCTTCCAGAGGAGGATCTGGGGGACAGAGGGATGGAATCAAACAGTGGGAGGGAAATCTGGCCAGAAGTAGTGGAGGAGACTGCCCCCCCCCGCCCCCCCCCCCCCGCCATGCCATCATCCAGGCCCTGCTGCTTCCACCTCCCAGAAGACAGCCAGGTGTGGCCCAGGATCCCAGGAGGTGCAGGGGGAGGGCGGCGTCTGTGCTCCCAGGGCGCTGGCCCGGCCCAGAGGGGACAGGAAGCCAGGACACCGGGGATTGTCTCTAGCAGCCGCAGCCCTGCCTCAGCCCGGGAGGAAGTTCTGCCGGGCGCTCTCCGCTGGTGCCTCCCTCGCTGTATTGTTGAACAGGAAACCCGGCTGCGCGGGAGCTGGGCGGTGGAGGAGGGAGCGCCGGACGCCGAAACCACGCGCGCCTGCCGGGACAAGCGGAGGCGAAGCCAGTGAGCGGACACCCCGAGGTGCCGAGGCTGGGCCGGGCGGGGGGTGCTGAGCCGAGGGCGGGAGGTGGGGTACCGTGCCGCAGGTGGCGGGTCCTCTCACCCGGGAGCGCCGCGCGCCTGCTCCCCTTCACCCGGTGCTGGGGCGGGAGCTGCGCGGACCCGGGAGCAGGGCCGCGCGGGTCGGATACCCCGCGAGCAGCGGAGATGCGAAGGGCTGCCCTCCCTCCGGGGACAGGAGGGGCCCATGTCCAGGCCCCCGGCTCCGACCCAGGCGTTCACGCCGCTGTGGCTCGCGTCGCCCGGGGCAGTGGACCCAAAGCACCTCCTGGCGACGAGTCAGCCCCCGAGTTCCTGGGATCCTCCCCGCCCCCCTTAAACCTTATCCCTCCGCTCCTCGTCGCTCCCCCCGAGATGGGGAAGGAGCCGAGTCCCGGGTCCCCTCCCCACCCAGCCCGAGACCCTGTGCTCGAGTGGGCATCCCTGCTGTGGGAACTCCGCTCCGAGTTTTTCCAGGCCCCGCCAAGCTGCGCCCGGAAAGGGCCTGGGGCCGGCGGAGGTGGGTCCGAAGCGAGTAGTGCCTGCACTCGGGCTGGAAAGGGCCGGTAGTCGGTGATTCGGGGTGCAAATGGCTTCGCTTGGTGTGGGAACGCCCGGACGACACGACGAACCGGGGTCGAGCAGTCCCAGGGCAGCGCGCCCGCGGGACGCAGAGGCTCGAGGACAACAAATCCCGCGGCGGGGGAGAGGGGGGCGGATGTGAGGGACCGCAGGGGTGGGACCCTACCCACCTTGGGCTCTGCTCGCCGCCCGGCAGCACCCCTTCGGTCGCAGCCCTTCCAGCTCCCGCCCCCTCTTGCCCTGGGCCCCACTGCCACCCAACGTCCCCACCGGCCCAGACACACTCGTTCAAGCTCCTCCTCGCCCCTCCCGATACAGCCGCGATGGGGAGTGGGGGCAGCCCTCCTGAGCATCCCTCTCCCTCTTTGCTCCCCTTGCCAGCTCCTGCGCCCCGAGGTCTCCCGGGCCTAGCCCTTGCAAGCCCCGCCCAAGGAGATGGCCGGGGCCTAACCTGCATCCATCCGCTGGCTCCGCCCGTCCAGCCCATGGGCCCGCAGAGACCTGCCCTGCCAACGTGAGTGAGCGGCGGGGGTGCGGGCGAAGGTGACGGACGAGAAGGGGTTTCGTCGGCTTAGCTCCGGGCAGCTCACTGACTACACCTCCAGGGCCCAGTGTGCACCCCTTTCCCCGTCGAGGAAAGCTTAAGAAAGTAGTGAAGGAGCGCTGTGAGCCCCCGGCCAGACCCTCTTCCTTGGGTTCCTCAGCCTCAGCAAGCAACCGAACCCCCAGCTGCTGCTCCCGGGACACCTTTACTGGGCAGGAGATGGGGTCGGTGCAAAGGCTTGGAGGGACCAGCCCCTTAGGGAAGGAGCCTCCGATTCATCTCTTTGGTGGGGAGACACAGACGGACTTAGAGTTAGCCTCCGACCCCCAACCCCGCCACACCAAGAGCCAGGCTAAGCTGGCATGCCGAGGGGTGGGTCGGGACGATTACTCCCGGAGAGCGTGGGGGAGGATACCGCATGGGTAGTCACTCACAAAGTGCATTCTCTAGGGGCCGCTCCCGGGGGGGGGGGGGGGGCGGGCTGACGCGGAGATCACAGGGCAGGTGGGCAGGCCGCGAGGGCAGAGCCTCACTCGGGAGGTGGAGGTGGGAGCGGGAGAACCGGGGGCGGCGCGGGCCGGTCTGGGCGGGCCAGGCTCCGGGTTCACGTCCGAGGCAAAGCCGCCGGGGAAGGAAAGAGAAACCGAGAGAACCGGTTCCCCGGCCTTGGCAGTCCCCGTCCCTTATGCCAAGGCCCTTGGACTAGGGAAGCAGGGACATTCCCGGGGTAGAGCGGCGCCGGGGAGGCACCTAGAGCCCCGCGCCTCAACTCTGCCCCGGCGGGCCCGGGGCGCAGAAGCCTGGAGAAGGGAAGAGGCCCTGGGAGCCCGGATTTCCTGAGGGCTGGTGGCGTCGGGGCGGGGCGGGGCAGGGGGCGGAGGGAATGGGCTGTTTTTCCCACGTCACAGACCGGGAAACTGAGGCCCCAGTCAACTTTTTAGGCAAATGTGGTGTCGACTTATCTCTCGCATCTCTTTGAGGCAAGGCTTCCTTGGCTGTAAAGTTGGACTAGTATTACCCACTAGTACTCCCCACCAAGGGATTGAATCGAGGCTCAAATCATAACCAATGCCGCAGAATTAAAGTGTTGTCATAATTCCATTAGCGAGGGTAAGATTGGGAACCTTGGAGATTATTTTATCCAAATCCCCCGTTTTTGAGATAGGAAAACTGAGGCCCTAACGCACACGAGGAATGCAGCCCCGGGACTCGAACTCAATCAAGTCTTTTGTCCCCCTCGTGCGGCGCCCCTCCCGGCTCAGTGGCCCTGACCTCCGCGCCCCTCCTCCTTGTCGCCCACAGGGAAACGCCACGGCCGCGATGGCGGCGGACGTCGAGGGGGACGTGTACGTGCTGGTGGAGCATCCCTTCGAGTACACGGGCAAGGACGGGCGCCGCGTCGCCATCCAGCCCAACGAGCGCTACCGGCTGCTGCGCCGCAGCACGGAGCACTGGTGGCACGTCCGGCGCGAGCCCGGCGGCCGCCCCTTCTACCTGCCCGCGCAGTACGTGCGCGAGCTGCCGGCGCTCGGGGACCCCGCCGCCGCCTCGCCGCCGCCCGCGCTCCGCCCGGGCCCCGCAGCCCCCGAGCCGCTGGCCTACGACTACCGCTTCGTGAGCGCGCTGCCGCCCGCGGGCCCCGACGGCACGCCTGCCAAGCCCCGCGGCCGCGTGAGCTCCCTGTGCGGCCCCGCGCGGCGCGGCGCGGCGACCCAGCCCAGCAGCCTGGCACCCGGCCTGCCCGCCTGCCTGTACACGCGGCCCGCGGCGCCCGTGCGGCCCGCGCAGTCCCTGGACGACCTGGCGCGCGCCGCCGTCGCGCCCCCTGCCGGCCTCCTCGGGAGCGCGGGCAGCCTCAAGGCCTGCAGCGTGGCGGGCTCCTGGGTGTGCCCGCGACCCCTGGCGCGCAGCGACTCCGAGAACGTCTACGAGGCCATCCAGGACGTGCGCGGCCCGCCGCGGGAGGAGCGCCCGCAGCAGGTACGGGGAGCCGGGGAGCGGGGAGGCGGGCGGGGCGGGGCCGCGAGGAGACCGCCGCCCCTCGGCTTAGCGTCTGGCTCGACGCCGAGCAGCAGTGTCCGCCGGCTGTGGACGAGCCCCCTCGCGCCGCGCCTCACTTTCCTCACCCGCGAAACCAGAGGGGCGCAGGCTCCAATCGCTTTTCTGCAATTCCGGAATGCCGAAGCTCCCTGGAGCCCGAATGTTTTCCCTAACTCAGTTGGTGGCAAAATTTGACTTGAGCCCGTGTGAAGCCGTTGGTGGTCTTTATTTATGACATTTAGAAATGCAGATGAACTTGATTACGGTGCGCTGCCCCAAGCCTTGGGGACAGGTGTGTGCGCCCCATTACCTACCAGCTACACCATTCCGAAAGGCTTGGGGATATGGAGTGGTGGACCTGCAGGCAGCCCTGGGAGCCCTTCTCGTAGAAGCTTGGGGGTCAAATGAGATAATGGATGTGAAAGTCAAGGGTCTGCTTCCCTTTTTGGCTTCTCCCAACATTTCAGTTCCCCCTTTATAAAAAAAAAAAAAATTATTTGTTTGTTTCAGGAAGAGGTCCAGTTACAGTGAGGATGTTTTTTTCGTTTCAGAATCTAGTTGTGTTAATTTGGGAAACTGAAAATAGAGCACGTTTTAAAAAAACACTTGTACGTCCTCAGAATCCTTCGCATGGCCCTGACATCTTGAATTTTAGGAACTTGGGGCGGGGGGAGCCGTGGAGGGAGGATGCACAGACCCCTTTTTGACATCTGCCACCAGATGGGTAATTAGGGGCAATTCACTTCCTCTCTCGGGGTCTCAATTTGTCCTTTGGCCCAAAGAGGGGTGGAAAGGGTGGAGAGATGAGCCCCCAAACCTTGTGAGTCTCTGATTTCTTTCTTTGTACTTGATGTAAACATTGATGCCTGGCACATGCCAGGACTGAGTCTGGGATGCCCAGCGGAAGGAGACACCGTCCCAGTCTGTGACCTCCTGGGTCTTCCCATCACCCGGTCTGGTTACAGTGCAAAGAGCTCAGGATTTGAAGCTGGAGAGACTCGAATTTGGCCCTGCTGGGTCACCTGCCAGCTGCTGAGGCGTCACTTAATTCCCCCAGCCCCAGTGTCCTCCTGTATAAAGGAGTAGCGTTGTGAGCCTTCAACGAGGTGAGGCATGGAAGCGCTTGGCACGTAGTAGGCGCTCCACCAAGGCTGGCTGGGGTCCCATTTGGTATCCTCGTCGGCGCCGCCTTCGTTTTGGTTTCTGCAAGGAGCAGCCCGCCCCCTGGTGGCCACAGCGGGGAACAGCATCCCGCGGGTGAGGACTGGGACCCGGACTCCGCCCAGAGGGAACGGGGGCGGGGCAGTGGGGGGATCTTGGGCCCGGCGTCCCTGAAGGCCAGTTGGCCAGTTTCTCTGGGACAGATGACTGGATGCCAGCGCTCCTCACCCCGGCGTCCGTCCGTTTCCCAGGCAGGCTCTCGGAGGCACATTCCGGGGCCTCTCCAGATTCTCGGTCCCGCTTATCCCTCCTTCTTTCGGAGCAGTTACAGCTTTGTGATACTGGTGGGGGACACAGGGGATGGCGGGGGTGGTGCTTGCGCCCGGAGGGACTGGGGCGTCTGCCCCGGAGACCTGGGTATTGGTAGAGAGGCTCAGCCTCGTCTTGCTTCTGGCCCTAATTCACAGTGGGACCTCAACAAGAGGCTTAGGATCTCTGGTCCTGTCTCCTCCCTGTGTCATGGGTATAATCTCGCACTCCCTGTGACCCCGCTTTATTCCAGTGTCAGCTGTGGGTCTCCCCGACACCCAATCTCCTACACACTCCAGGGGTAGGGAGTTGGTTCTCTCCTGGGAGGGAAACCCCGTTCTGCTCTTAGTTGTTCAAGGCCGCATTTGGAGAAGGAATCTCCTGAAAGGTGAGCCTACCTGTTTTCTTCTTGGAGGCAGGAGAGGCTACTCACTCACTCATCAACTAAGCAGGCACTGGCCTCCCACCTGCCAAGCACCTGGTGAAGCACAGCCCCCCCAGCCCTGGAGAGCTGCCATCTGGGTCAGGAGCCTGGCAAGAGGGGACAGATGCCTCAGGCCAGGCACAGGCCATCTGGGGTAGAACAACACCCAGCGTGCCGTGGCGCCTAGGCATGGGTGTGGGTGTGGGATGTGGCACCCTCGGGGCCTTGTGGCCCTGCCCCCACCCTGCACTACGGGGGCGCTGTGCGGACAGGGTGGTGCCTGGCCAGGCAGGGCCTCATGGGCTCTCGCCAGGGATGTGGACTTCATTCTGCAGCTGCTGGAAGACTCTCAGCACAGCAGGGAGTGGGGTTCAGAAAAGACCCCCGTGGGTGGGATTTTGAGAAGGGCAGAGGACCTGCGTGGTCTCCCAGGCATGCAGTGAGGACAGGAGATTTGGGAAGCTGATGCCGAGGGATCTGGGGGCCGATGGAGTGTGGGAGAGAAGTCGGGATGAGTCCCAGTCTCCCAGTTGCACACCTGGCAGATGGTGGTCTGTTTATTCGGCGGTGACAGGTCCAGGCAGCAGCTGGAGGCCGGGCCTACTGCCCAGGAGATGGCCCTCAGCACGTGGTGGTGGAGATGGGGGTGCGGAGAGCATGTGGACAGGAAGAAATAGTCAGGGAACAAGGAGGAAAAGCAGGAGAGTACTGGTCCAGACACTGAGAAGTGGCCAGAAGAAAGGAGAAGTTAGATAAAGGCCATTAGACATTTATCGGAAATGGTGACCCCAAGGTCAGCAGCCACCTTATCAGGAGCTGGTCAAGGGGTTACTGAAGGCAGAAGGCAGAGGTCAGAGGGATGAAGGTGAGGACACAGGCCGCATGTAGACAACCCAGCAGCTTGGCAGGGAAGGGAGAGACACTGTGTGGCCAGAGGTAGGTGGAGGTCGAGAGGGGAGGCTCCCCAAAGCTAAGTGAATGGTCAGGGGCCAGGAGAGCGGGAGGCTGAGGATGGTGAGGAGGTGATTGGTGAGACAGGATTCAGGGAGAGAGGCTGAGGGGGCGCCAGGGCTGAGCGGGAGGGACCCGCTTCCTCTGAGGCAAGGGGCAAGGATGTGTGGTTGGAGGGTCAGGGTCGTCGAGGAGGGTGGACCAATGGCCAAGGGGAGAGGGTGGTATGGGGGTGGGACCGTCGGCAGAGGCAGGGCCCCCTCCAGAAGAGAGGAGCCTCCACACTGTGTGGCATTTTACAGCCTTGTCATTCACCCTCCACTCAAATAGCATGTAATGAGCACCGGGTGTGTCCTGGTCAGAGTGCTGGACCCTGGGGACACAAAGCGTGTTACACATGACTTGATCCTGTCCCAAAGGGGCTAATGGTCCTGTGGGCTCTCACCCAAAGCCAGAGTGCAGAGGTGCAGAGGGGTTTAGCGGCTGGCTGAAGGTCACCCAGGCAGGAGGTGGCTGAGTGCAAGTCACTTCCATGCCTCCTGACCCCCAACCCCACGCCGGTCAGCAGGTTCAGTCTCAGCTGGGTGGCCTGCAGGCTTGGCCGTTCCGCTCAGCAGGGGCAGTACAAGCCGGAGGCAAACAAGTATTCTTTCTTTCTTTCTTTCTTTCTTTCTTTCTTTCTTTCTTTCTTTCTTTCTTTCTTTCTTTCTTTTCTTTCTTTCTTTCTTTCTTTCTTTCTTTCTTTCTTTCTTTCTTCTTTCTTTCTTTCTTTCTTTCTTTCCTTTCTTTCTTAAGATTTTATTTATTTGACAGAGAGAGACACAGCTAGAGAGGGAACACAAGCAGGGGGAGAGGGAGAGGGAGAAGCAGGCTTCCTGCGGGGCTCAATTCCAGGACCCTGGGATCATGACCTGAGCCGAAGGCAGCTGCTTAACGACTGAGCCCCCAGGCGCCCCAAGTATTCCCTTTCTAAGTGTCCCGTATGTGCCCAGCCCTGGGCACGGGCCACAGGGAAGGACGCAGGAATTCCAAACCCTCATCTTCCCTCCTGCTACTGAGGGCCTGGGAGGAGGATAAGCTGTCCCAGGAGAGGGCAGCGGCTCACCTTCGGAGGAGGGAGAGAGGGAGGTGGGGTTTGTGAGCTGGAGCACTCTGCCCCCACCCCCTCTAAGGAGGGGCTCCCCGGGAGCCTGGAAGCCCGGTGAGGAGGGGCCTCCGAGACTCCTCCCCTGGGGCTGAGGCGGGGTGGGGGAGGGGGGCCTGCTGACTCGGGGATTTCAGGGTGCGGTCACCATCCCCGCCCCAGGGCCTCGGAGGTGGAAAGGCCCAGGCCGGCTGTCTGGCCTGGAGCCCGCCCCTGCTGCCCAGGCATTGGCCACAGGGAGGAAAGAGGTACAGCCTCGGGCCCCTGCAGCTTCCTATGCAGCCGGCCCAGGAGGCGCCTCACCTGAGTAGCCGGCCTGGACTAGAAGGAGCCCCAGGGCCCTGGTTCCCTGTCCTCTCCTGAGAACTGTGAGTGACCCCTCAACCTCGAATGGGGCACAGGGGTGCTCTCTCCCCTCCTTCCCTCCGCCTGCTCTTTTCCTGTACCCAGGCTGAAACCCACCTCCTCTCTGGACCCCACACCTGGCACCCACTCCTTGGGACAGAATCCAAGAGCCACCCCAGGCAGCTGTGATTGGGACAAAAGAACTGGCCTTGGACAGACCCACCTGGATCCCCCTTCGGGACCAGCCAGGGGGCCCTCTGGAAAGGGCGGGTTAGTAAGAGCAGGGGAACTGAGGCCAAGGGGAGGGTCCAGTGAGTCCCCTTGTCTGTATGCTCTCCTCCCAGCAAGTCTTTCTCCCCCTCAGCCCCTACCCAGGGAGGTCAGCTGTCCTGCAGTGGCCCAGCAGGTGTCTTCACACCTGGCCTGACCTTTCCTTCCCTGTGACTCACCTGCAGCCCAGGCTGACCCTGGAGCCCCACTGCCCAGCCTGTGGCCTGACCCATGAAACAGCAGATTCTTGGGTAGCCCCCCCCCAACCTCAGCCCACACTCCCGGCCACCAGTGGGCCTCCCCACCCACCACTCCCCAGGCAGAAAGGAGCAAATC